GAAGAAATGGCCTTAAGTAACAACAGAAAGGACCCAGGAGTCTATAATTTATTCATCCAATATCAATGAAATGCATGTTTATTGAGGGCCTACTGTGTGATGCCAGGCTCTAAGCGCTCAGAATGGAGGAGTAAACAAGGCAGGACAAAGTTTCTGAAGTCACCCCCATAAATGTCCCCTCTCGTTCCAAGAGTGACAGGGAAACAACCCCAGATGCGCTTCTGCTCTGCCGCTGGACCTTTCCCTTTACGTGTGGAGCTACCCGAGGAAGGCGGCGTGTGGATTTTGCCAGCGCCGCTGCGGAATGTGGGCTGCGGGTCCCAGGCTGCGGGTCCCAGGCTGCGGGTCGTCCCAGCCCCTGGCCTGCGGACCTCGTGGGGGGAATGACCAGAGAGGCGCTGAGCCACAGGTCTTCCCTCGGTGTGGGAGGGTCTCTGAATAGCTCTTTCATGCCCTGAGGTTTGCCTTTGGGTGTGTAATTCCTTAGCTTATCCAAACAAGACTTCTTGTTCCTGGGCTGTGGCAATTCATCTCGTGATGATACATTTTTGTGGTTCTCTTCCGTGGAAAATAGAGAACCGACTGCGCCCGGCGCTCCGATTCCTCCTTCATCATTTGCAAATCACATTCCTATTCCATTTACTGTCTTCCGGCTAACATGGGCGTATTCCACGTTCTTGGTTATTGCTTTTCATTTGCTAGTTACCTTTTGTATTCTCTTTTGCCCACGTGCCGGTTTTGCTCAGATTTTTCTCGTGGACTTAGTAGTGTATTTGTCCTGAGTAGGTGTCACTTTTTATTAATGGCGATGTGAGCAGTTGTCGTTTTATGTTTCAGTATGGTTGGAGGGCCTGCAATTCTGGTGGTTTCTTCTTTCCTGCCGGATCCAACTCCTTAAAGTGAGTAATTACAAAATAAAATCTACCAGTTTCTTTTCTGGCAAGAATGAGCTGCTGCAGATCTGCCTTCTGAAGGCGCTTACCCGTAGCCGAGGCAGCTGGTTCACAGACTACTTACCTGAAAAGGGAAGAAACCAAGACGCAAGGAACGGAGGGGAGGAAAGAAGGGACAGAAGGGAGGACAGGAAGGTGCAATGCATAATTGATTTCTCTGCCTGGCCAACAGGTGGGATGTTTAACCCAAGGAGATTAATCCATTGGCCCACGCTGGATTCCCATGCTGGCTTCGCCCTATGTAGAGGCCATTGGTCAGCATTTCTCCCTGTTACGGGAGCCGGAGAACTGCTGAGCCTATGGTCAGTCATCCCGGGAAGAGCCGCTAGTCACGTCTGTGGGGTTTACCTTCTCCAGCCCGGCCTCTCTTTCAACCTTGAATTCTCCGTCTCTACTGTGGGGCCCGCCAGCTGGGTTCCGAGTTTGTATTTGCCGTTAGTTTCGTCTGGGCCTCCGGTGTGAAGCCTGCTTCTGGACAGTGCCCTGCCGTCCCCTGAACTCGGGGCCTGTCTCCTGTTTACTTCCAGACCGGCTCCTGCCCCTGACGCCTTTTCTTCCGACTGGTTGTTCATGCTAATCTCTGACGATGTGACATGTGTTCTAGAAAAGCAGTAATACTGCCTGTGATGTTTCTAAGTGCAATCTTTTTAAACGCAGTGGGGGACCTTTTATTTAAAGGCTACTGGTAATGAGGTATTTTATAAAATGAATCCTTTTCACAAGGCAAATTATAACCCTTACCCCCAAATTCATCTCTCTCTCTGTTTTTTTCTTCTTGTATTTTACACTAAAAATCCTTGAGACTGGGCACATTTAGGACCACTTTCTGTGGCCACAAAAGCTGCGTACTGTACAGCTCCAGGCGTTATCACTCACAGAGACCATAATGTCAGTAGCCACATGGAAAACTGCACGGAGTGGGCATTTCAAAATATCTTTTATCTTTTCTTCAACCTGAATTTAACAAAGTCACTATCGGTCAGTTTGTCTCTTTGTTTTTTGATGTCTATGGTAATATAAAGCTTTTTTTCCCCTCAGAGGAATAAAAAGTAGGCCTGGTTTTTTTTGCCTGGGTTCTGTGGGATGTCACATTGGCCAGCTTTAAAAACTCATGGCCCTGTCAGTAAGAAGAGCAGCAGACTGATTTATTTGGCCATTTTCTGCTATATCAGTTTATTTCAACTCCAGATGGCTTTTTCTTTCTATTCCTATTTCTAGGGTTGTTTTTGGATTCTCACTAAAATCAATGAACCCTCTAAACTTGTCTTCTGGTTCTCATGCTGTCCTAGCGTCTAAGAACTTTCCAGCATCTCAGGTTTATACTTTTTATATGACTTTCCAAGCAATAAGTCATCAGGGAGACTGCTGGAAATTTATTTTAATCCTCACCTGAGGATATGTTTTTAGTCTTTATTTTTTTGATTGATTTGAGAAAGAGAGGAAGGGGCAGGGGGAGAGAGAGAAAGAGAGAGAGAGAGAGACAGAGAAACATTGATGTGAGAAACATTGATCAGTTGNCAGGGGGAGAGAGAGAAAGAGAGAGAGAGAGAGAGACAGAGAAACATTGATGTGAGAAACATTGATCAGTTGCTTCCCATATGCACCTTGACCAGGGATCGAACCCTCAACCTAGGTATGTGCCCTGACTGGGAATTGAACCCACAGCCTGTTTGGTGTACAGTTCAATGCTCAACCACCTGAGCCACCTGGCTGGAAAATTTTTTAATTCAAAGTTAGGTACATAAAATATTTTGATTTCCTGATAATACATGTGATGGAGTCAATTTAATCATTATAATATAAGAGAATAGTTTTAACAATAAAAGCCATCTTATATTGAATGTCTACTCTGTACTACAAAGAAACGATTACTGATTCTCACAATCACTCCATGAGGCTAACATTTTTGTTCCCAGTTCTTAGATGGGGAGACTATACCTCTTGGAAGTTTATTATAAATTGTTAAAGGTCATACCATTAATTATTGGCAGAGCAGATATTTGAATCCAGACTTCATAATTCCCAAACTCATTCTTTCTGTTATATCATGCTGTTTCCCTTTTCCTAATTTTTAATGTACATAGCAGTTAGTTTGCCACTACAAATACAGAGGACTCTTTCAGTAGATGTTGATAGTGCTTTTAGGGGAGGAAAGCACTATCCTCTCCTAAAACTACTATGTCAAGAAAGTAAAAAGTAATAATATTGATAAAGGGCCAGCTAGTTTTACAAAATTCACTGTCAGAGAATCATTCCTATTCTGATTTTTGTTGTTTGTTTGTGTTTATTTCTTGCCATTTTCTATCCTTAAATATTATCTTGATAACATCATTAGGCACTTGCACCAATGCCTCTACCCTCTTTGCCTATTTTCCATTTAATTGTTAAAATAGAAATGACAGAAATCGACCAGATGTTTCCAGATACCCTCAGGGCATCCCAAACTGCTTTATGCTCATGGAATGGTGTCTTTCTGGGAGGAAGGTATGTGTGGGGGAAAGATGGTAGAAGCTTTGAAAAAGTATGTGGCCCCATGTAAGAAACACCGTCTGGGGAAGTGAAAACATTTTGATCTATGATTTTTGATGATAAAGGAAAATGAGAGAGTACAGGAGAAACATGTAGGATGTATATAGTCTTTTGTATGTAGTCTGTATTTGAGAATTATGGGTTTATCAGACCCAGGGTAACATCAGACTCTGGTTAACTTCTGAACCCAGGATCATGTCTATAAGCTATAGAACTTGGAAGGAGACACATTCTAACAAACCTGAAAATACGCATCCCTCTCATTTGTCACGTGAGAAGCTTCCGCGTAATAAAGGCCCTGTACTCTGGTAGGTGCGTAATTGCATTTCTGTTCATCTGGTTCTGTAGTGCCACGGGTTCAAATAGTGTCCTTTGAAAGGGACAGGAAACACAAGAGAGAATGCATGTGTGTGTGTACGCACGTGTATTGTGTTTCCCTTGCCTCCCCGTACGGTGCCCCTGTGCGTTCCTGCTGCCCTCCTTTTACCTACTTTCCTATTGATACTTTTTCATTTTATATTCATTCAAGTTCATGGAATAAGTGTGTTTTTCAATAAGTCTACTTCACTGAGTTGCTCCCTTTTAACTGTTATCTGATTGAATTTTAAATTTTGAAACAAAATCATTATAGAATGTAAAATGAATTAAAGATATAACAATGCTGACTGGAACATACAAGGTGGACTCTTGCCAGGGATCCAGTTTATTTTGTATTTTTAGATTTTACCTGTTATAATTTATCATAGAAATATACTGCAAAATATATTTGTCCATGCATATATTTTAGCATATAGGGAAGCAGTACATAGCATTTATTAGTGCTCAGAAGTAAATGCTCTCAGTGATCAAGAATTGCGATGGAACTATTTTGGGGGTAAACGAGCATACCTGAGATCTGAAAAATGGCACTTGTTCACAAGTTCACTTTGTTTTGTTAAGAGGCAAGGAGGGAATAGGTATGTATAATATCACATAAATAATTAAGAAAGCCTTATCTTTGGTAGAATTTTAGGTTTAGAGTAAAAAAGGAGCATTTTTATCTTGTCACTTTACTAGGAGATAAAGACAGCATCTTTTTTTGTGTTAATCCTCACTGGAGGATATTTTTTTCATTGACTTTTAGAAAGAGTGGAGGGGGGGAAGAAGGAGAGAGAGAGAGAGAGACAGGAGAGATGTGAGAGAGACACATTGGTTGCCTTCCGCATGCCCCCCGGGCTGGGTATGTGCCCCGGGAATTGAACCCATGACCCTCTGATGTACAGGCTAACTCTCTAAACACTGAGCCACACCAGCCAGGGCCAGACAGCATATTTAACAATTAAGTCATTTGTTCCTCGCTTATGTCAATAGCCTCCACTACCTCAGCCTGCGGCCTTCTGAGTCTAGCCACAGAAGCCTTCCTGTGATTTCTTCCGTGCCCTGATTCTTTGTTCTGTGGGCTTTGCTGCTTCCCTTTCCTCTTCCTGGAGGGTTCTAGATATCTCCTTAGTTAATCCTAACACATATTTCTAAACTCAGCTCAACAGATGCTTCTCTGAGGAAGTTTTCTTCATGGCCACCAGAGTGGGAGTCCCTCTTTCTACTCATAGCTTCCAGTAAGTATATTTTATAGCTTGTAACACAGTTGAATAAAAATACCTTGTGCATCAATTGTTTACTGTACTTCTTGCTAGAATATAAGATAATGACTGTAGTGGTCACTTTTGTCTTCCTTTATCATCCCTCACCCTGTGTTTAGTGTAATGATGCCGTGTAGTTGGTGCTTGGTACATATTTGTTGATGGATTGAATGAATGAACAGATGGATAAGTGTATGAGTTTATAGATAAAGTCAAGGCCAGAGTGATGGAGAAGAAAAGGTATAGAATAGGAAAAAAGGGTCAGAGAAAAGAAGAGAAAGAACATAATAGAAATACCAAAGGTAGGAGAGATGGTGGGAGGTATTTGTAGAAGATGTTCAGTACTTGGAAACTATTCTTTTATTTCTTTTAATTTTTAATTTTTTTAAATCTTCACCCAAGGATTATTTTCCCCATTGCTTTTCAGAGAGAGTGGAAAGGAGAGAGAGAGTGAGAGAGAAACATCAATGTGTGAGAGACACATGGATTGGTTGCCTCTTCTATGGGCCCTGACCAGGGCCAGGGATTGAGCCTGCAACTGAGGTATGTGCCCTTGGCTGGAATCGAACCAGGGACCCTTCAGTCCGAGGGCTGACGCTGTAACCACTGAGCAAAACCGGCCAGGGCTGGAAGTTATTTTTAAAAGGATATAGGTATGGAGGTGTGGAGGTTGTTAGGAAAGAGAGAGGGGGATATTTGCTTTTGTAATTTTAACTTAGTCAAGTACTATTTCCTTGGCATTTGGTATTTGGAGACAGTTTTCAACATGATGACACCGACACTGTATTCATCACTTTTTTGGTAGTGCCCTTAGGGGTAAACCTCTCTTCTTCACCTAAAAAGTTCAAGAGATTAAGAATACCTAAAATACTTTAGTTTTCTCTTGCATGAAATGGTGCAAGCCATAATTTCCAATATCAGGTAGGTGTGATTTTGTAAGTATGTAGTTTATTTTAAAGGAAAAATTGCTCTGTAACCTGGAAATGACATAGAATTGGTCATTGCTGCTATTATAACATTTATTAATTTATGTTATGTTTACAACCACACTTTTGATATAACTTTTTGTTTAAGTGGAAGAAATAGACAGATAGTACCTTTTTAGTATTTGTCACAAAGAACTAAAAGTGCTGGCCTATACTTTGGTGCTCTTTTCACTGACCCTCATTTATCTGTGGTGGCCGTGTTCATTAAGCATTGACCACTTACATGGCTGTGCTGAGGCAGGTGTGGACCGAGGCCAGCTGCCTGGCTAGGGGTAAAGCTGTCTTCTGTGCCACTCAGGTAAAGATTTTTCTTGATTCCTACTTGTCAGTCAAATTCTAATTTTTGTCTTCAGGGAATGGAATTATTTGATAACTCCCTTTTTCTTCCTGCAGCTGGTTCTTGTCACTGTGTCAGAAAGCAAAAGAAAGACTCTATTTCATAATAAAAGTTAAAAGTTGTATTGAAGTTTCTAGAAATTCCAGCGATGTTGTTATATAACATCTGTCCCTTTAACTTGATAGTTACCTCATTTTCTGTACTTCTAGTAGCATTCCCTGGGGCTGCAGTTCTTGGAAACAAATTATTATACTTTCACTTCTTTCTTAGGTGCTGGGTTTCCTGCACGGAATGTAATTAGTTAAGCTCTTTCCTGTGCATATAAAAATAAGGATAGATAAACAGGATTATGCAGAGTTAGCATAGTGCACCTTTGTGTTCATTTTGGAGGCTGAAGGAGGAGCCCAGTGCTTAGTCCCACCCATAGCACAACTGTTACTGTGTGTGTGGCGGGGACGGTGTAAGAACGGGGTCGCCAAGGCACAGACAAGGGCAGGGAAACACATGTCCTTGGAATGTGTCTGATAATTTTGCCACCTTCCCTATAACCAGCTGCCTTTCAGGTGTTGACACATCAATCCCAGTCCCAATAAGACTCATCTGTCTCTGAGGCCCCCAGGGTAGTCCTAGTAATAATCTGAGGGTGAAACCGGGTGAGAGAAGATAACAGAAAAGGCAGTATTGAGGCAAGGTGACCTTCAGCAAGTTGCCCGTCTTCTGGGATCCTTATTTTTCTCATGTGTAAAATGAGAATAGCCCGGCCGTGCATGGCTCAGCGGTTGAGCGTCGACCTGGGATCCAGGCGATCAGGGTTCGATTCCTGGTTAGGGCACATGCCCGGGTTGCGGGCTGCAGCCGATCAATGACTCTCTCATCATTGATGTTTCTCTCTCTCTCTCTCCCTCTCCTTTCCTCTCTCTGAAATCAATAAAAAAAAAAAAAATGAGAATAATCATAATTAGTGTTGTTGTGAAGATTAAATGTGACAATATATGTACAATGCCTAGAACTTCCTAGGTGCTCAGTAAATATCTGTCCCTCACACAGAGGGTTTTGGATGGAGTGTGTGCATATTAAGGGCTTGGTGCCAAGCCTGGCCCATAGGGAGTGCTCAGTGAAGATTCCTAAGTAAAGACAAGGGCGGTGGCTGCTTGGGGCTCAGCACCTCACCTTCCTCAGGCAGATGGTTGGTTGAAAAGGTGTGTAGAGAGAAGGGAAAGTGGGATGCTATGATGGAAGAATTTAAAGATTAAAAATTTTTTATTTGAGATTATTTTTTCCTTTAAAAGTCTCAGATATACTTACTTTTTTTTTTTTTTAATTCCCTCAGGACCCATGATGCCAAGAAGTTGCTTATGAGTAGGCTCTGAACACGCTAGGAGGTCACACCTTAGAGTTGCATTTCAGTGAAGATGCTCAAAATATTCATTGATATACCTAAGGGCCTAGGAGTAGTGAAACAGTTGTTTCTTCAAGGAGCAGAATCGGAACTCCATGTAGTCCTATTTTTGTATCAATAAAAGACAACGTAAAAATAGTAGGCATAGATTTCAGTGGACAGTGACTACTGAGATAGGTGTTGCGATATTTTAATAAAAGCCTCAGAGAACTAAAGGATCTTGTGCAGGTTCACAGGACTAATAAATGACAGGACAAGAATTCATCCCTGGACTGAACCATTCCATAGCTACCACACCCAACTGTTTTATATTTTTTGAATACATTTTTTAGAGTCATCCAGCAAAATTGTCTTTGCCTTTTGGCCAATCTCATGTGCCACCTGCTAGAGTGGGAGCTTCTTCATATGCACATAGACACTCTAGGCATCTAACCTACACCTTGATGCATATTTGTAGCCTCTTCTCTCTAGGTCCTGATTTGGCCCTTCATGAGCTTCCTTTTCGTGTGTGTGTGTGTGCGTGTGTGTGTTTAATATGTTTTTATTGATTTTTAGAGAGAGGAAGGGAGAGAGCTAGAGAAGTAGAAACATCAGTGATGAGAGTCATTGATCGGCTGCCTCCTGTACGCCCCCTACTGGGGATCGAGCCCACAACCTGGGCATGTGCCCTGACTGGGAATCGAACCAGTGACCTCATGTTTCCTGGGTTGACACTCAACCACTGAGCCAAACCGGCCAGGCACCCACATAAGTGTTTTGATTTCATTCAGTCAGGTTCAGCATATAGAAGACCTAGTAGACTTTTAAATTATATTCTTGATAAATACTTGATAGGTTTGTTTGCCATGAGGCATAAAAGGGATTCTCTGTGTAATTCCATTCAAGATTATACAATTTCAAAAGCTTAGTTGAAAGACTTCCATTGGACTTTCAGTTAAACAATTTTCTAGAAGTCAGTCCAACCATAGAAAGTAGTACAAAATGCTGTTCTTGGAGTTATGTATTTTAATAAAGACATGATGTGAAGGTTTTTGAACAGACTAAGTTCTATTCTTTAGTTCAAGAAAATTTGAGTTTACTTTTCACAATATGGTACACATGAAGATGCCAGCTGTTAAAAACCTGCTTCTTATTTATCATCCATGCCTTAGGGAGGAGAGAGGATGAGTCCCAGGGAGAAAATGAAAACACATGGTGTACAATTTTATTTGAAACAATGTGAAGCTTCAAAAATATAGTGTGAAATTGATCATCTTATTTAATTTTAAATGCCTGCTCAAAACATAAAGGCAAGTGTTTTGTACATTAATATTTTTAATTTTTAGACAAAACATAAGCTTATTTTACACATTTTCCCTAAATTCTCCATTATCTCAGTAAAATTGATGCTCTATCTTATGTCTGCCTAATGGTTTCCATAAACTACATGCTAAATATTTCATATATTTGTTTTGAATTCTGGCTCCTTGGCACAGTATAATATATAATGTATTGAAGGGAAAAAAAAGATTTTTGAAGGAATGCGGAACACTATAAATAGTCCTGATCATTATGTTAATGTGGTAAGAAAAGGAAAATGTTAGTAAAAATAGGGTACAGATTTCTTTCTAATTTTCTGACGTGTTAATTTCCTTCTTACCCTAGGTAGATATTCTCATGAATTACGTATTTGTAATGAATTTTAATAATTGTTTTAAATATATGTGTAGATTGTTTCTGGCATGTAGGCCGATCGTTTCTGGCATATAGGCTGATAAAAATCTTTCTTTGAGATTTTTAACTAGACTTCATTTTTTCTTCATGACACTTAATATCTCTTCAAAAAGATGAAATTCAAATGGCCATTATGGCCCAGTAGTATTAATTTCATACATGGTTTTCAAATGGCAGATATTTAAGTTTGAGACATGGTAAAATGCAGTGTGAGAAGAAATGGCTGGAGCTTTTTCCTCTTAATCATCTTTGGTTTTTCTTCTCTTACCACAACAAGAAACCCGATCTCCCAGAGACCAGAGCAACTAAGTAGAGCCTTGCTCCTGTGTAGTTGATTTAGGACTTGATTTAGGACTACGATGTAGTGGGGAAATCCTTTATCATAGCTTTTCCTTTATGTTAACTCCAGTTTTTGATATGCCATGTGTATAAAAGGTAGTGTTTGTGTTGATAGTTGAAAAAGATAAAATGAACCATACAGGGATGGAGAAACCCTAAGTTAATTACTACTGCATTGCAGGTGATACTTTCTTATTATTGA